ACTAATAGCTTCTTGTTACTAGTAGTAAGGCCAGGAGCCCCTAGTAGCTTCTTGTTGTCCTGTCCTTTCATAATGCAGAATCGACACATGTCGACGAGTATCTTCAGTTGTAAGGTGCTGACTGAGTTCTCTCCAGATTGCTTCTGCCATTTAAATTTGGCCTGCTTCTGTCAGCGGCCTAGGCTTGCGTTTCATGCATTCCGAATCGTACCTGTAGAGGCTCAGACTTGGACCCACGGTCCGCCACTGAGGTCATCAAAGGGAGCACCTCAACCATTTCCGAACAAACAACAACGGAAAGCTGCTGAAAGCTGCTGAAGCAATCCAAGCCTTCATCCAAAGCCACGAAAAAACGCGCTGATTGTTCGTGGATCAGCCTCACAGGAGCTGCAATTATTCACTTGACATGTAGGAAAATGGTTTCTATTAAACAGGTGAACTGCCCAAACATATGAATTCTCCTGTTATTGGTCTTCCCCTCCTGCGCAAGGCTCGCAGGCCCAAGAGCAGCTCAAAGACCGAGAGGACAAGGCGGATCACCCAGCAAACCTGCTGACCACAGCTGGACCATCACAGCTCAGCAAAAAGACATATATGAACACCAACCGCTGGACACTTAGTTCACAACGAACAGTTAACAGTTAAGAACAGTTAAGGTGCCACTGCACGCTTAGCTGCTTCAATGTTTGGTCTCAAAATGTGAGGAAAAAAAACCGTTTGAGGGTGCAAAGGACCCTTGGCATATCACAGGTCAAAGGGCTCACTAGCATATCGGATTGGTGTTGCCAGGCTCCGCCTGCTCAATTGTGAAGATACAAGGCAAGTTTGCAGCCTCAGCTGCTTCCACCCCAGGCAATCGCAGCACACACAGCTTATGGCACACGCGGCCTGCAGGGTGGTGAAACCCATTTTGAGTTCTTCGAATCCAACTTGTTAGCCGAAGGGGCCAAGCTGCAGATCCCCGGCTGAAAGTCCTCCAGGTAGCTGCCTGAAGTAGACACAAAACTCAGTGCCAGATCGCACCAGTACCAGAACGCCTCGCGAAAGGCCTGG